CCCCCCCCCCCCAAACACACATCTTACTTACATATGTTATTGGTTTGGCTCCATCTAAATTCCTCTGTGGAGGAAAAGTTCCTCTTTAGCATAATGCTCAAACACCTGCTGTCATTTTGGAAAGTGCTGCTTTGCTCCCACTATTTTGTTCAGCCAGATAAAACACGACATTAAATTAATTTAGGGCAGGTAGTATCTGCTACTGCACTCCTATTTGAACTTCTGTTACAATACAGTACATAGATAAGCTAAGCATGCCTTTAACATCTCAATGCATACCTCAAACTGAATTCTGGTGGTTCTCACCATCACAAAGTCACCATCCTAGTTTCTAAGTGACTTCAGGGGGTAGCGCTGCTTTTAGCTCAGTTGGTAATTCACCACTTCACATCCTCAAAACAGAGCCCCTTTAACCATTGTGTACCATGCACAAAAGCACAATGGTCAGGCTTGGGTAGAAAGAAGATGACCAAGTTAACAACTGATTTACTAACAAAAGCGCCTAGCAAAGGTGGTTCTGGAAATTAAAACAAAGATGTTCTACTTAACAAATGAGGGACGTGTTTCCTTTGATGCCATTTTAGACGTTGTCCCTGCCATTTACCCTGATATTGGTGTGTGTTTAACATAGTCCCAAAATAAATATATGTATGAATATCCATGCTAAACACAGCACACAATGGCAAGTTGAGCAATGAGTCTGCTCAGGGACTGGCTTCATCCTGGTCATTGAAGAGACTCCAGGAAAAATAAGGGTATTCAAGAGGACTACTTTGAGTACGTGAGAAGTTTTCCGTGGCTGAAGAAAGGAGGACTGCAGTCAATCGGGTGCTCTCCATTGAAGGGAGAGGGGAGAAATGCTTTCATTTTTATCCCAGCCTCTCTCTTCTTCCTTCTCCTCAGTATCAGATAGGTCTGCAGTTATCATTGCTTTTGCAGTGTGGGAGGAGATGGAGCTTGGAGCTGCATTTGGCAACTGAAATTCATCTCTCTGGTAATAGCACAAAGAAGATGGCTTTAAGGAAGTGACCAAAGCTACAAACAGCAGCCACAAGCCAATGAGAGCGAAGGCTAGGATCAGTGTTCACCACGCATTTTGTGATGTCAGCCTAATAAAGAGGAAACAGACGTCATCAGAAAATGTATAAGCCAGAACCAAACACATCTGCTGCCACCAGTGGTCTCTAACGCCATTCCCCATAGTAACTCCTGCTGTGGGAAGACTGGAAATTTTAACTCGCATATCCCTCAACCAGCAATATTAAACTGTTTCCCCTACAATGCTTTCTTGCAGTGTCCTGAGCAGCTATGAACACCAGCCTTGGCATTTCCACACCCTGTAAGATATTTAAATATGCCTGCAGGGAAAAGAAAACTCTGCAAGATGTACTTTTCTCATTTTGCACCAACAACGATGTGCATCACCTTAATTTATACCAAGTGAAAAAATAAAACGTGAAAGGTTGATTGTGGAGCTTTCGTTGTGTGCGCATCACAAAATCTCTCATCTTTCAGAAAGCTAAGCACCCTTGGCACTATCATCCCCCACCTTTCTTCCTTTAGTGGCAACAAAATCCTTCCCAGAGATTGTATTGTTTAATTTCAGCTGAAATCGCTTTTACTTTTTCTCTTGCCTTAATGTTTTATTTGGCACTCTTCAGCCAAACCAATCCCTGACTGAAATCCATAGTAATAGGACCTTTGTTTGTAGAAATGCGTTCTGGCACCTTCTTGACGTGTAGACCAACCTCAAAAGCAGCTGCCCACAGTGATCCTTAAGTATTTAGGGGAATGTAAGCTGGCCAAAAATTATTAAACAAACAAAAAAAAAAAAGCCCAGTAAATTAATGTGCAAAGAATAGCTTTTGGCACTAAAAGATGTGGGTGAAAAACTGGCCAAAAGTTAAATATCAAAGACTGAGTTTGATAGATAACTGCAGTCATTTGGGGAAAACAAATTACTGTTCCAGCCAAAAAATTAAAAAGAAAAAAGCTGGTTTTGTGGTCAAAGTTTGGGACAGGGTCAGGAAGTTAACATAGCCCAAGTTTTTCACGGATTTTTGGGTGCCCTGTTTGTGACACCGGCCTGATTTTTTTCTCCCCTCCCCTTTCAGGCACTAAGGGTGCCTGTACAAGAGCCTGTACAAGAGCACGGAAGCTGCTCCAACATGCTGTAATTACAGTGATTAATCGAGTCTGCTGGAGCATGGCAATTGCCGCACTCCAGTAGCCTCCTGCATCTTGTGTATCAGTGTCCCCACGCTTAAAAATGGTGGCAGGGGTGCTTGAACTAAAGCTCCTTGAACAAGCTTTAGTTCAGGCGTCCTGTTGCCATTTTTAAGCACAGGGACACTAATACATCAGAGGCTGCAGTGCTTTAATTGGAGTGGCTGTCAGAGCCACTCCAATTAAAGCACTGCCCTCTTCCCCCCCCCGCCATGTGTAAAAGTGCCCTAAGTATGCACAACTGGAAATCAGTTCCCAGGGGAGCTGTGGAGAGTTTGTGTGCCTTGATCCGTTCCTAAAGTTCCACATCTGACATGGGAGTACTGCAAAGCTTAATTCTTTAGTGCTTCTATAGACATGTATGATCCCAGACAGTGCAGTAGAAAACTAGACTATTACATTGTTCTACTCCTGCCATTCCTCAGTGACCTGCTCGCTTGGGTCACTTGGGAAAAGGACCCACTTTTCATGCTCGTATTGGTTCATTTCTTAGGCACACCTTGTTTTTTAATCTCTCTAATGGAAACCTGAGAATGAGGAAGGAGTGATGTATAACTTCTAATAGTTTAAGCATTAATTTCCATGGGAGCCTTTCATGGGAAATCACAGAAATCGTGCAGTTATGTGAAAAACCTCATGTCACGTGCCTGTCACAGTTGATGCAACAGATGGCACCATAATTTCCACGCATCCTTATAAATAAAGGTTTTAGTGTGGCTCTGTTGATGGACATGCAGAGCAATGTTCTGGACTCAACTTTGTGGCATTTCTATGTCTAAATGTAATATAACTTTTGAATACCCATCTGATCCATTCTAATATTTATAGGGCTGGCTGTTCCCTAACTAATATGGAATGCTACCACCCGTACACAACTCCATGTGATTAAAAAAAAGTGCAGTTTAATCATTAGTCAAGAAAATACACATTGTAGCAATTAATTTGACTAGATTACTAATGGCCCAAGCATCCAGAGTAAACATAAATTTAGGACTGCATTCCATTGGGGCTGTTCTTGGAGCGAGGTACTTAACGGGCACAAATACAGAATACGGATACATTTTTCAAAACATTTATCAGAAAAGAGCACCATTTTCCTCTCTCTTACTTCAGTTGAATTAACTATTATCTGATTCAGGCCTATCCATTTTAATACCTCAACTGGAACCAATAAATATCAGTTTCTAGATTGGGACTGAATTAATGGGCTTCCCCATTGCACTGGAAATACAAACATGTTTCAGTGTTGCAAGGCACTTGTTTGTTTTAAAAATTTTCCTTGCTGAGCAGTTGCCTTAACTACCGTTAATCAAATAAAATTTACCCAATAAAATATCGGAAAGGAGAGTTTCAAAGCTTGCTAATTAAATAGGTCTTTCAGTCCTGTGAGGCACTGATAAGCTGTTGTAAGGCCAGTCTACTGTTTCACTGTTAATTATTTGTGAAACATTGTTTAGCCACTTGCTCTACTTAACAGTTACTAGAAGCTTTATTGTACACAGGGATTTCCTTGAAGAGAGAGTCCTACTGGAGGTCATTTTAGAAGCGGGGAACTCCTGGGTGTGGTGACGCCTCCATGGATTAATTATGACTCCCTATCTTCCCTGCTTCCCTCTGTGGAGGGAGGAACGTGGAAGCCGGCTGCTTACTGGAATCTTTCAAATGCTTTTCTGAGGTCTCGACACCAGGTTTCCTGCCCCGGGGAAGACTGCGGTGGTTCCTCTTGGCAGCAGCCGTCCCTGGCGTATGTGCGAGAGACAAGGGGCTGGGTGCCTGGGCCAGGGGAAACTCAGACTGTGCGCCAAGACAAATGAACACCAGACTAGGTCAGGCAGCAGATATAAAAGGGACTCTTGGAACAGCAGCTTCATTCTGGCCAGTTTGTGAACAAAGCTGGGAATCCTCACACAGGGGTGCCCAGGTCAGGGGGAAGGAAGCTCAGGGAAACAGTTCAACACGGAAGAAAGGATTGGCCATGTCCCATTATCAGTGGAAATCACTATTTGCATTTATGGAGGGAAGCATCCCCTTTCACGAGCCCAGGTTCAACTCCTCACTGATAAGTGTATGCTAGAGAAAGCCCGTAGTCAGAAGTATCAGGCAGTATCAGCATTCAGGTTTGTGGCTGTTAAAATACTGAATCACGTCCTGGCGTGACTCAGCACAACCTCCTCAAATCCAATGGAGATACACTGAGTGGCAACTGGCACATGATATAGGTCTGGAAAGTGCAAGGGGTTGGGAAGGAAACAGGACTTCTTGTCTGCTCCCAGGGACTAGAGCTGGGCAAAAAACTGAGCTTTTGTTTTGTGGGAAATTCCAACGTTCCTAAGTTTTTTGTTCCAAATCAGAATGAAAGCAATTGGAATACCGCTGGCCCCATGAAACCGACTGGAAAACTTTTGGAACCCCAGAACATTTTGTTTTGAGTCAGGAAGAGACTTAAAGAAAGTCAAGATGTTCAATCTCATGGAACCATTGACCTTATCGAAAGGGGAAAAGGATTTTGTTAGAACAGCTGTTTTCCCCCAAAACATGTAATTTGGATGGAAATATTTTTTTCTAGTGAAATGTTGTATCAAAAAAATTCCACCCAGCTCAACTATTAAAGTGTACAGATCCAGCCCCACACTGGATGTGACAGTCTTGCTAGATGTGAATGAAGCTGGTAGTTCCATTCCCAAATATCACAAAACCCACCACTACTGCAAGCTCCTTTGGAAGTCTGAGCACAGAAGCTTAAGGATTTGCTAGGCTGAGAACCTGAACTGTCCTTTTAGCCTGAGTCAGGGTTGAAAGACACCCTTGCAGCAGTGGCAGAAGCTTGTGTTGCTGTTGCTCTGTGACTCCGAGTGTGTTTCAGCATTATCATGGGTTAGTAGGCACAATTACAGTGTCTCCTCATTAGGTGGCAAGGGAGCAGGTGCTATCCAGCTAGCATATAGTAAGTGGCTAACCCAGCATGGAAGCAGACAGATAAAATTTAAACCAATGTAACTTTACCCTACTGTTGTTTTACCCCTGATTCTTTAGGACTGTTTCTCTACCAGATTGGGCTGGTTGATGGGTTGGGTCATCTATCCACTACTTTTTTATACCAGTGTAATAGTATAAAGTAATTGTTCTGATTTACATATTGTCTTTATGAGCATCATAAAATGTTATCTATATACCATTACCAGGAATAAGCCTAGGAAGCAGCATAAATAAGGCATTTTTTTAATAATCATATAAAGTTCCAGATGGCAGCAAGTTCTGTTAATATGCTAACCCCTCACCTCTGCAATTTGTGTGGGCAGCTGTAATAAGTTTGCTGGCCTCAATCAGTCTCTAGGAGACATCTGTCTGTGTTGCAAGAGTCCTGCAATTTGTGACCTCCCATTATGATTAGTCATCGGTTCTAGAGAGGCCCTGGATAGTAATAAAAAAGGTGGCTGCTGGTTGGGATTGAATTGGGCTTGCAGAGCTGTGCAAGAAACCAAGGCTAAGAATAACCAGAATCAGTGCATGGCAGGAGTGAGGGGTATAGCACAGCTGTGTTGAGATTAGTACTGGTACAAGCAGGATTCCTGCAGGTTAGAACCAAAGCATTTTGGCAGAGTTGTGAAGGGCAACCTTGCTCAGTACTTGCCAAAGGATTGCTCTTGTTTTCATTCACACAGATAACATCGCCTACATTTTTTCCCAGTTTAAGGCAAGTCTGAGAAGTGTCAGCGCCTCTTACCCAGCCTCCTCTCCTCTTCAGCCACGTCACCAAGGTCTTGCGCACAAACTCTCCCAAGCAGTCCACGATGGTATGGACCATTGCTGGCTGGGCATGCCTTACACAGTCCACAGCCAGCCCAGCTGCCACAGCATAGAGTGACGCCACCTTGCCCCACGTGATGCCTGTGGGAAGAAGGGATAATGTTCAGTTTTGCACATATTTTGTGCTGGTAAAGGATGCATCCTTGAAAAAACCCAGAGGATTTTCTCAGATTGAGTCAGGCTGCTGTGCATGCATGTGGCTTTCCATTGTGAATGAGGAGCAACAGCTGGGGAAGCCTCAAGAGCAGAAACAAAGGACGTGATATTCAATTATCCCTGGATGTGCTTCTATCCCATCTCATCATTGAGCATATAGATAAGAGCCTTCAACAAATACAACCCGTGGCCAGAGAGGAGCTCAAGAGCAGGCCCACGCTATGCTGTGACCTCCAAGGACACTATCAGGAGAACTACCTGAGCCATTCACCCACCATGATGCAAATTCCCATGCAGACAGAGGCTGTACCAGGGGAGACAGGAGCAGGTGCATCTGACCAAGGCTACCCACCTCATAGCCCCTCATGTCAAACAATGGCATGACCACCAGGCACCCTCAGGACCACATGTTTCACAGGCACGCTCAGGGAAATAAAAGTCACTAATATTCCCTGTGCCTTTCATGCAGACAGAGCTTAACTGTTATGCCTCTAGGTGACACCAAGACAGTTTCAGCACAATTAAATTATTTTGGAATGGAAGTGAAGGTGCAGGGCCTAAGTTCATGCTGTGCTTCATGGAGCTCCTCCATCACTTCTAAAATCCATGCACTGACCTCTTAACAATTCAAATGTGGAAAATAAAATAAATGCACAGAGGTTTAGGTGCTGCTGCAAACCCATTCCTACACAACTTTCTGCGGTTACTGCTTATCCTAGCAAATGGAGTATGTGCAGGGTGATGAGGAGTACAATGTTGGCCAGTAATCTAATCTCCCCTGCAGCAGGGCTTCCTGCAAGTACCCCCTGGAAGACACTACAACAGCATTCATCTTCCTTAGGTCCTACTGGTAAGCACTTTATAACCTAGAGGTCAGCAGTGAGTGCAATTCATAGAACTCCCCTGCACTTTGCCAGTGCTCCTAGGCATGGATATACAGCTACTCAATGCTAAACAGCTACAGCCAGATACTATGCAATCCCTCCCATCGCGATGAAGGAGAACAGTGACCTAGAAACATGACCATCTCCATCCAAACAAGCGAAGCAGCATAGCATGATGCCGTGTGCATTTCCTCTCTGCTTTGAGATTTCAGTTTTCCAAGGGCTTGATTATTTTGGATCACTGTTTTTAAACAAGCATGTGGCAAGATATTTTACACTGTTAGAGATCTACAGAGACTATCCAAAGGCTCTCTCAGCCACAGGCAGAACCTAGGTGAAACTCCAGAACCTCAAACTGGTATACAGCAGCTGCTTTTTGGCTGTGGCATAAAGGAGAATGGCTCTAAAGAGAGGATAGATATTATTTTATTCAACATAGGTCAGAAGCAAAAAAAGGGAAATGCAGAGTAGAAGAATTGGATACCTGCAGGGATATGCCAGGAAACAAGCAAATGTTTAAACATAGGTTGACTGGTGCAACATCTTTGCCTCTTCCATAACACTTCCAAATTCATCAGCAGCCAAGATATCAATTAAATAAAGCTGGACTCCAGAGTCCCTTGCTGTTTACCCTGGAATGGATTCCCCCCGCCCACACACACACACACATATACACTTTTCTCTCCAGCTTATGAGAGGTTTAACAAGGAGCTTTCATAACAGTTCTATCTAATGGCTAGGAAGTGACCTACAATTGGGATCTTAGGAGTTGCTTTGATAATTAAGACAAACTGTTCTTTAAATTTCAATTACGGATGATCAGAGAGCATCGCAGTTATTAAAATGAACACAAAAACATCCACTCACGCTCCATATGATAGCAGATGGGTGTTTGTTTCTCTCTTGGGGGATGTCAAAAACCACAAGTTCCTCTTGAGCAGATACCATGCCAAGTACCACCCAGCAAAAATTCAGTCCCCGACATCCCTCCTGCCATTAGTGCCCAAATTCTGTATCTCTGGGAGCAGAAGGAAATATGAATACAGCCAAATAAGCATCTATTTTTGTTCTGTGTTTGTTCTCTAGGAAGGCCAGAAGGGGCCCTGCCACATGTCCATTGGTCAGGAAGTTCAGAGTGCATGCAGTATTCACATTTTTTGGTTATCATTCTCACACTCTGTCACCATGACAGTCAGATGGATGACACAGGAAGAGGCTGCACTAACCACATGAAAGAACCAGGCAGCAAGTACATATTACTGTTTATACTGGTGAGAGAGACACTGCCGTTTCTGAGATAGATGCAGAAGGATGTTCACAGTTCAAGTACCTCCCCTCACTGTCCCTGATCTCTTGGGCTAGGATCACAACTAATACATCACCCTGGTATAACTCCACTCCACTGATCAGCTTCACTGGGGATGTGGCCCCTTGTGATTTGCTTTTTTTTTTTTTTGGTTCTGTGGAAAGTTGCCCACAATTCTAGGAATAAGTTTTCTGGCTCACTTCTAAGCTTTTACAAACACGGGTCAGATTCTTCATCTACACGCATGTACATCTGGAGCGACTCTGCCAGCTTTGAGGTGTTCATGTGGAATAATAGAGAACAGAAGTTAGGTCACTCCACTAAAGGTTATTTAACTCTGTTTTACAAACTATTTTTATTTCAAAGGAAGGGAAGCCTTTCCATCAACTTGAACTTGCTTCAGATCATACTCTTGATGCCACTGAAAGGTGAGGGCTAGACATACCCAGATACCAAATTCTGAAAGAATATGCTAATGGGAATTTATTATACAAGCTGATTGTGCAGTCTGAAAATCAGACCATCTCCCCACTGTATTTGGCAGATATCTGTGTTTTACAGGATATAGTGCTGCCTTCTTGGCAGCCTGGGATTACCAGAGGCACATGAAAGTTGGAATCACATGTGGGAATGAAAGGTGGGGGGGAGTCCGCAGGGTTACAGAAAATTTGATGCTCTCCCGGATGTGAGGAACCACTCATCATGGACACTTGACACCAACAAACAGATTCTCCACCCCGTGGAACTCTAGCTTCTTAATTAGCATTCTGTTCCACATTTTCACACTAATTAGTTGATTTTGGTTATTTGTACAGCACACCAACCTTCCCTACCCGGTGTCTGGAACAGCATCAGATCATCAGCGAGATGGAGAGAAATTTTGAAGGAAAGAGTTCAGATCATCAAGGTAAGTTAAAGTATATTGATGCTAAGTACGCTGCCTTCCCTACCAACATTCAATGTGAGTCTTAAATTAGTGCTTCTTCTTCTGTTGCTATTATAGGGGAGTTATGAAGCCAGAGCAAGCTATAACTGTTCTGTTATCATGACAGGTAATAGCAATGATGGAGGTTTACAAATGGCTACAACACACAAGCTGTCCCTGCCTTGCTGATTTCCATAAAGGAATCCTGTTGCAACAGAGATAGAGGGCAAATCCTAGGCTACTCCATGCAAAGCGGGCTAGTTTGTGCCTCCAGCACAGGGCCACAGGGTGGGGTTTGTGGAGGCACACTGCCCTAGTAGGAGGCTCCAGCCTCAGGCAATAGCCATTAAATCTGGGATCGCTGGGGAGGGATGGTAAGGAAATAGGTGACAGTAGTCCCTGCTCTGCCCATTCCCAGAATGCACCATCCACTCCACTCTGCATGGAACCACTTGTGGTGGTCAGCACTGGGTGCTGGGGGAGCAGTGGACTGCTCTTCATGCTGGAGGCACAACTCAACCTGATACACTGCTGAGCAGAAGAGCTTGGTTTGTGTCTAGTTCTTGGTCAGAGCAGAGAAGCCTCCTTGTTCGCTGCCCCTTGCACACCCACAAGGTCCAGGTGGTCTGGCCCCTTCCTCTTAGATGAAATCGAGCTGCTAACCTACAAATGGAATAAAAAAGATGCAATACACTGATGACCTCCCATCAAATGGAATTCAAGCCAGTCATCAGCGTGCAGAGGAACTGGAGACACAAGTGAATGGAAAGCTAGTCCAGAAAAAAGAGGGAGATATCTAAACTTTTACCCATGAAGGTACAAAGAAAGCCCCACTTCAAAGTAGGGTTGTTGGTTGTAGATATAACATCTACCCAAAGAACTTTGCCTGCCACTTCAAAGAACACAGAAAGATGTAAAAAGCTGCTTGGAAGGCATTTAAAATAAGCAGGAGACTGGAGGCCAGCTGTGGAGCTGGAGGTATGTAAACACTGGCTAGCCAAGGGGAAAATGAACTAGTGAGAAAGTTTTGAAAGTGTTCCTGCTGCATCTCAGCTGCCTGTCACTGTGGAGAGCTCAAGCGGCCACGTGACGTGGGTCTGGTCAGTCTCAGAGCACACATTGCACCATGCTTGCCTCAGTTATTTAAATAACCCTCCCCATTTTAACATCAAAGCAGGCCTCCCAATTCACATCTAAAACCAGCATGATCACAGCAGCTGGGAGATCACACATGGATACAACCCAGTCTCCTCTGGCATCACCTGTTGTAAACAGAGGGAAATCAAGACCCAGAAATACACACACAAAGGCAACTTGGCTGAATGCTCAGCTTCACATGGCTTAAATTTCAGGCAGCAGCAGGGAAACTTCACTCCCACTAGAGGGAGGGAGCACTTACCCTGACAGCTGGGCATTGGGCAAGTGCACTTTAATCATGCACAGCCCATAAAACAAGGAGAGGGACATTATGGCTGTGACAACCCCACAGCCACACTGGGGCAAGAACCAGTGCTGAGTAGCTTTCCCCACCCACTCACTCCCTGCCAAAATCCTGGAAATGAGGCAATATACCTGCCTTAAGGGAGATGCCGAGGGTATGCCCAGAGCTGCTGGGCATACCCAGCCTTAGAGCAGGCCAGAGTCTCTGGCCTGCTCTAAGGCAGCTCTGTAGCCTCATGTTCATGACTGAATGCACGCAGAGGTAGGGTTGGACAGGGCACACTTCACAGCGGTGCTCTAGCACACAGCACAGGTGCCATGTAGATGTACCCTTAAGCCTGGATATTCCCAGTTCCAAGAAAAGGAATGC